AACATCATGAAACCAAATGGCCCCAGTGCCAACAAGTCCAGATGGCTGTGGGGATTGTCAGTTTTTCTCTTTTCAAAAAAAAAATGAAGGAGGGACGTAAATGCTGTTTACCATCAGTGAGGGCGCGGTTGTCATGTCTCCTGCGAGCTAATACTGCAGCGCCAACAATGGAAAAATGACGACTGCTGACAAAAAGCTCCAGATTTGTTTAAAGTGGTTACAGTAAACAAATCTTACCCATGGATGTCATTTTTACTTCATTTCCACATAATGCACCTTTAAAAAGATTTTAATTTTTTTATATGATGTGTTTGGGGAATTCCAAAGGGGTGAGTGCTAGGATGAAAGGGTCAATGAAATAACATTTCAAAGAGTGGTAATAGATGATAATGTCACGTGCGTGCCGAGCAGCGAGGAGGATCCAAGCGCAGGGAGCAAGAAGGCGAACAGGTGAGTCCGTTTAACATAGGTTTATTGAAGACACATGCTGGACACTGAAACAATGACTCCACAAAGGACACAAAACAGACGGGGTTTAAATACAGGAGGACCGGGAGCTAAGGTGATTGGGAAACAAGAGGCAGGTGGGAGCAATTAACGGAGACACAGACAAAACCTAAGAGTAGACAGGACAGGACGTGACAGATAATTTTTTTAAATAAGAAGCGGGCATTACATGCATGTAGTCTAAAACACCGAGAAGCATGTGAGTACAAAATAAAACTAACAGATGCTCAATTGTTCTTTTCTCCGTTTTCAAGCTAATGTGCAATTATATCTGGAGTAATAATGACGAAAGTGCTTTAAACTCATAAAATATGGTTTTAGGGTCATTTAAACAATTGCCCCTTGGGGATGATTAAAGTTTTTTTTTATTGAATTGGATTGAATTGGATTACAAAGCAGACTGCAATTATTATACAAATCACTATTTTCATAACTTTAAACATTAAAATTGCCATCTGAAAAATTTTAAATATAACACATATTTTGGTTGAAGCTAAAATTAACCAGCTGCAATATTCTGGAGATGGATTAAAATGATTAAAAACTTCTATGTAAAGTAAAACTATGGAGCTGTGTGAGTGTGAAGTTGAAGCAACCCTAACCCAAACATAAAGAAGTTCAAGAAAACAAAAACGAAATCATAAAGATGGAGGTGATATCTGATTGTTTGGTGGTGTTTGATGATTCTTGTCATCATGTAAAATTGGAAAAACTTGGCTCTGAAGAGGATGTGGAGTTATACCAATTAAATAACGTGATTGTGTTTTGAGTTATCCGTTGAGTGTAATAATGTTTTCCATTCATTTTAATAAAGAAGATTGATAAATAATCTACAATTTCTAGAGAAGGAGCAGGATTATACAAGCGTGACCTTTTTACCAATCTGTTTTGAACATGTTGGCGTCTCCCTCTCTCATCTTTAATAACATTGATAAAATAAATAAAAAGGAAACAGATTATAAAATTTGGTAACATCATAAAACAAGGAAAAGGACACACTTTGGGGGCAAAATAACAGATTTTATATCATTTTATATCTGTCATTGCTTTGGTAAAAGTCTGTCTAAATCAAACAGATACCATAGTGATTATGTCTATTTTTTAATTGGAAGCTAATTTTTGTCGTTCATCATTAGATATTTGTCTGAGAGAAGCAGCACCATCAGATTAACTGCATGAACAGTCAACAGTCTGGCTGCTGGACTGTCTGTTGGTATCCTGGCATCTCAGCCTCTTTTGTCAGCTGTCTTGCTGATTGAACAGATTGTTGGTCCAACGAGGCTGCTGTGTGCTGCTGCACCAGGCGGGTTCCTGCAGCAATGCTTTCATGTAAAATCAAACCAGACTTTCAAATTTGAGTGTTTGGCGTTTTTCTCTGTTAAAGTCAGAACATATTTTGTTTTCGTATATTTATGATTTCCCAAACAGATTGAGATGAAAAAATAGCATAAATAGTTATTTTGGTTCAATATTATTTGATAAAACTACAAATGCAGATTGTAATCTCTTGCTTCTCACTTTCAACTCTAACAATGCTATTTGGAATCCCAGATCAGAGGTTCAGAAATGTTTTGCTGCATCCAGAACTTTCTTGTAATTCTAATTCCTGTTCAGTAATTCCTGTCACGTTCCTGGCTTTGAGACAACTGCCCCTCACCTGAAGATCCCTCCTTATAATTGTTGTAGAGATGAATGAATCCATTAATGTATACTCATCTGTGAAGGTGGAACAGGTTGGAAACAGTGTCAAAGCATCTGTGTTGCTTTCTGCTTGATTGCATGACCCTCTGCCTAAATGACATGTAATTAGCTTAAGGTGGTTCTGCCATAAACAGTGATTAAAGTGGAACCTCGTTTTGCATAATTATTTGTAATCTCCTCATGAGCCAGTAGGTGGTATTTAAGTACATATTTTCAGCATTGAAATTAAAAGGAATTTCTTATTTATGTGTTGATATATCATAGTCATCTTCTTTTTAAAGTATGTTTATTCATTGTTTTAATCTGTTCCTTTGCTTTAGTTAGTTCAGTTGGTCAGTCAGCCATGGCCATTAACTCTGAACACCATCAGTAATAAGCTCACCTGTACCTGTTTTGGTAGAATAGAATAGAATAATATTGAATAGAAAATCCCATTATTGTCCCTTCGTGAGGAAAATAGCATCAATCACATTCACAACGTGAGCAAAAAAGAGTGTAAAAAACAGGAAATATGATTAAAGAGTAAACAAGAAAATGTGACTTAGAAATACATAAAGGATTTAAAACACTTAGAATTCTACATTTTTAAATAATGAATGTTTACACGTTATGAAATAATACACAAACTGTCTGGCCCAAAATAAATTGCCACCAAAAAAAAAGGTCACACACACTACTATTTTGTTGAACCGCTTTTAGCTTCGATTACGATGCACATTCACTGTGATGTTGTATCGATACACTTCTACAAGGTCATCAGATGTATTTCCTTCTAGTGTTGCATTAATGTTTCACCAAGATCTTGCATTGATGATTGTAGAGTCTGACCGCTGCACAAAGCCTTCTCCAGCACATCCCAAATATTCTCAATGGGGTTAAGGTCTGGACTCTGTGGTGGACAATCCATGCCCATGTCATCAGGGAAGATGGAATAACCTGGTCATTCAGGATATTCAGGTATTTAGCTGATCTCATTCTTGGAGCACATCCTGTTGCTGAACCTAGACTTGACCAACAGCAGCAACCCCAGATCATAGCACTGCCCCCACAGGCGTGTACAGTAGGCACTAGGCATGATTGGTTCATCACTTCATCTGCCTCTCTTCTTACCCTGATGCACTATCACTCTGGAACAGGGTCCGTCTGGACTCATCAGACCAGGTTTTAATAATTCATTAGACAGTTCTTCACCCAGTTTTAGTTGTTTCTACAATATCCTTAGATGTTTTCTCTGCTTGATGCATGCTAATGATCTGACCCTTCTCACACAGACTAACGTATTTTCCACGAGCACCAGATGTGTCTTTCCACATGGTTGTTTAGGAAGTGAGAAGCAGGTGATTTCACCAGTTGGGGTTAACTAGCTTGTTGCCAGCTGAATGACAGTCACCCATGCAGTAATTGGATTAAAAAAGATGGCAGAGGGAACAAGAAACTGAAAAAATGTGCAAATACAACAATGAATGGGTTCAGGTAGAATAACTGTTCAAATCACAAAAGCAGCAGGAATGAAGGAATGCAAAATAGGCTGTCTACTGGGTTTGTTGGGAGCAGTGTTGATAGTGGAATCCAACAGCTGCTGGGAGGAAGTACCCGTGATGCTGTTCCTTTGTCCACCTAGTATGCAACAGACTGCCACTGATGGAGCTCTCTAGCTCCATAACAGCTTCATGCATGAGGTGGGAGACATTGTCTAACAGTGATTTTATTTTTGTTGCAGGCCTTCTGTCTTCCACCTTCTGCACTGCATGAATGGGACATCCTAGGACAGAGCTGGGCTTCTTAACTAAACTCTGTCCATCAGTCAGATAAGCTACTGCCCCAACACACCACACCATAAAAGATGGCTTGGGAGAGTTGTAGAACCCTAAAAAGGTGCTATACATCTACCATTTGAATACCCAAAAGCATCTTTTGTTTGGGTGTTTACTGCAAATATAAGAAAAAGGTCATTGTTTAATTCACATTATTAAATAACTTATTTTCATTTTTTTTGTTACAGTGTAAGAACAAGTTGGTCTGTACTGCTGACAGCAACATAAAAAGAAAGCTTTTGAACTGATCAACATATGACATGTATGAAGCAGCAAAATCAGCAAGAAGCTTCTGTCAGCAATTGTGGCAACACTGTAGTCAGTGGTAGTTCAGCCCAGGTGGACAGCTTTGCCTAAGTGCAGACATTTAGCTAAAAATAGATGACTTTTGCTTTTCAGACACATTTTGTTGGTATTTTACCTGAAGAAGTATCCCTGAAGGACTTAGTAATTCGTCCTTTTATCAAAATTTATTTTGAGCCTGAGACGTTTAAACCTACACAGAGTTCCTCTTTGTCCCCGCTTTCTGTTCTATGCTGTTTAAATTCAGTCAGAGCGACACTTCAAGTTAGAGATCTCTTGCAGGAGGCAATTCCACGCTGACAAGATAAGACAGGAAATTTCACAAAGCACAGTTCCTACTTACCACCAGCTATGATAAAATATTCTGCTCTGCTGGTGATTGTCAGCCCTCCTACAGATCTTAGTCTTTCAAGCTGGCTGAGAAATAAACTTACATTTAGTGGCCTGATAATTAAAGACCGCTGTTCTGACCGAACGTGTTGTTTAACCCAAACTAGGACACGCAGGTTGTCAGAAATACCATGGAGTCATCTCACAGTGAAATGTTTCCTTCTAGCAATAAATAGTTCTTGTTTTAGCAACAAACTTTTGACATTACTTATTTAGATCATGTTTTTACTGTAAGTCGTATGTCAGCCTCTGTTGGTGAAACGAGTCAAAAGTAGAAATACTCACCTGTGAAGTTGACATCACGGATATATTTGAGCAGCATCGTGCCGTTGATGGTGTCCATCTTGGAGCAAAGGCCCACTTTCCCAGGGCAGAGGTCTCTGTGCATGTTGTGGAGCGCATGAGCCATGGCATAAACTGCATCGATCACAAACTGGACCTTCCCTTCCTGTTCGTATGAAGAATCTTTCCCGATCCGCTCGTGGTCTAAAAAAAAAACATTACAAATGCATAAGATTAGGACCCGTAAGTGATGATCCACGCAGTTTTAGGCTTATTCAATGAACCTTTTAAGGACCATGATTTAAATATTATTCAGATCAAAAACCCACTTGAATGTTAATGAAATTATAAGAACTAAACAAGTTGTCTGATGCATTAAATCAAGTAAATGATAACCTTTCAAAACGCCTGGTTACTCAATTGTAAATCAGTTCTCTGCCTTTTATTTGGTTCGTGTTCAGAATGGCAGTGAATTACACATTAAACTGTAATTGTATGCCATTTATCAGAGACATCCATCAAGAATATCCTTGAACAAATGAGAAATGGTCTCTCTTGCAGCCTCTCTCATTGTGAGCTGCCGATCACTTCAACCCACTCAAACTTTTGTCAGAAAGACTCTTTTCACATCGATTCTGCCAATCATCCACACTGCTGACGGCCCTAGAAAATCAAGATGCAAAAATCTTCTAATTTATTTATTAATCAAATCAAATATAAGTTTATCAGCACAAACGGAGATAGTTAGGCTTTTTTAAGGTCACGCTAGTTTAGATGATCTCTTGTCCCCACAAAGTCATCTTCTATCTATTAATCATGACAGCAGCAGCGCCCGGCAGAGTGGCACGAGAGGAGAAGACGCAGCCAGACAGACCTAATCGTTCTTCGGCATGAATGTAATTAGTTATGACAGGTGTATATTAATCATAGCCAGCGTTGTTCTCGTGCTCGTAAACGTGTTAATCGCTAAGCAAGTTTTCAATCATGAGCCTAATTTTCTGATTAACCAATGCCACGTCATCTTGCCTTACCACTGCTTGTTAAAAGCCAATTTAAACACTAGTCAAGCATCCCCTTCAGCGGATGATCATTCCCCTCATTCTTTAAGAATACGCAATGATAATCATCAGATTTGCATCAACTACTATTGTTAATTATTAATATACCTATTGTTAATTATTAATAAACCTATAGCTGCAAAAGTATGAATGACATGGTTTAAAATGGAAGGTTTACTTTCACGTTTCCTGACTTGTTTTTTAAAAGATCTCATTTGAGCCTAAGACTACAGCAAAGATTAGGATGACATGACAAATAAGAAACAACAACAAAACTGAACTAAATTAAACTAAAATAATAATAATAATTATTTAAAGAGATACATGTTACGATTAGCTTACTGTTATTCATTTCTGTTTTCACCACAGACAATTCATTTAAAGAGCCTGTTCCATTTGTTATTATCTAGTTATGGTTGAAAGGATCCTCGGGTCAAAAGGCCAGCTTCTAAAATGAAACAGAGAATTGTTTAAAATAAATTACATTAAGTAAATGTTATTCTTTTTATTTTTTAAATAAATTTTATACAGTTTACTGTTGTTACAGTTACAAACACACACACACACACACACACACACACACACACCTCTGTTTATCTCGCTCTATGTCTCTCTTGATAGAAAGACAGGCAAACAAACAGACAGACAGACAGACAGATGGATTGATGTGCGTGTGCACATGCATGTGTGTGTGTGTGTAGCCTAAAGAGGAGAGGAATTTTTGCCATATCTTACCACCCTTAAAACATGTTTGTTCCTCTTCTGCCATCCTAAAAAGTGTCCTAGGTCCCCCACAGGTTGGGACGTTATTTTATTTTATTATTCAGCTAATTCCATCATCAGTTTTCAGATAGGTTTGAGAAGTTTTAACAAATAAAAGAATGACATAATGACCCTGGACTGTATGAACCTGCCTCCACAACCACTACATCAGTCTCTTTCTGTTTTGTATTTGTTTACATGGGGTTGTATTCAGAAGCTACATCCTGGCTGTGCTCAACACTAAGAAGTTCTTCAGTCTTTGTTGAGGAAAAACTACACAGTTGTATGTTAGAAACAACTGGAATAAGAAAGTACGAGCTGTTACTGAGGTTGTGCACACAGCTGGATTGATTAGCATATCTGTGCCTGATGCAGACTCCTGAAAAATGTGTCTGAAATGTCAAGGCATGCTGTTACTATTCTTAATACTTTTCCCCTGCAGGTATTTTGTCGTTTTTTTGTAGAGTCAAATACATCACCAGTATTTTGACATATTTTTAAATTCCCCTGGTGTTTCTCCACAGTGACAGAGTGAACTTGTGTCTTCAGACAAAAGACTTTCTCTGCCTGCTTTTAGCGTTAAGAAATCACAAACTTAGAATATGTTAAAATGTACTGTTCTAAAATGTTGGGTTGTTCAAAACAGAACAGGTGCTGAGTCTTATCTGTTTTCCCCTCACAGACTATGAGACCGCTGAGACTATGCAGAATACATTTGTGTACACAATTCGACTGAGCTGATGATGTCGTGTCTTGTGCAGACAGCATGCCCTCAGCACTTCCTGTGCATACAAATCTGTGGCAAGCACACCGCAGCATGGACCACTCAGGAGCTTATGGAGTTGTCAGATACAGTATGTTCATGTATTAGGGTCAGACAAGCAAAGTCAGAGCTTATTAGCTTGTGAATATCACCGTATTCTCATGATGGCAGCCCCTCTACAGATGCACTGTTGCATGTTGGGTGTGAAAGATTTAGTGCCTAAGCCTGTGATGATTACTGGCATTTTTGATTGCAGTGGGCTAATTGTGTTCTGGTGGTGAGTTTATTTGTGCAATAAATGAAAAAATGTGTGTTGGATAAAAATCATATCATCGAGAAACGTATTCATTTATGCAGTGAAATCATAAAACTAAGATAATTATTTAGTCAAATAACAAAAACAATACATTTATTTGGAAGTTGGGGTTTTCAGCACGGTCATCCCAACATGACTGGCTAATCAAATACTATTTATGTTCTTTAATCAGTTCATGATATCATTAATGATTTTATCATTATACCATGTTGTAGTTTTTGGAATCTCTTTCTGAGTTAGCAGTTTTAGTAAACAACAACCAGAAAATGTGTTATAAACCTAATGGAAAAATAAGTATATATATATATATATATATATGTATATATATATATATGTATGTATGTATACACAGAGTTTTGCGCTGAGCGTCGTGTAGTGTACAGGGGGTTACGAGAGGCGATTAACACCACGTGACCAGCTACCGGTCAGCAATCGTGAGCTCGCATGGACTTCAGGAGTGTTTGATATTTTGCTCGTTCCTCGTGAGGGTATCGCACTGTTGAAGCGGCGCAGCGAGCAGCTGCGACCCCAAAAGTACCAGAACCGCTCACGGCGCATGCGAAATCATGCATCAACATCGCTCACCCACTATTTCCCTAATAACACACGTTGTTCGTTTTTATTTCTAAACGGTCTTTTTACACACAGTGACAAGTATTGTCAACAAAGCGTGTTTGTCGTGTTCATGTCAAATTAAACTGATCACAAAACACAGATTTACTTTCTTTATTTCATTTTCCTCATCCAACCCCCATAAATCCCTGTGTGTCCTCCTGCAGCACTCCCGAAGGACAACAGGCAAAACAAGACAAAAAAGTCTGACGTGTTGAGTAAAAACTGCTATTTCTAGCATATTTTTAGGTCAGACGTGTTGCTACCAGACGTACAGTGTGAGCAGTCAGGTCGCATCCGAGAACTGGGTCGTACAGTGTGAGCGCATGACTCGTGAGATCTGCCCTGCGAGGAAGTCGTACAGTCTGAGCTGAAGCTGAGTGCTACGAGTGAAAAAGTTGCACAGTATCCGCCCAGCTTTATATAGTTTATCAGCAAAAAAAAAAGGTTGATTTGAGGGTGAGTTGCTCTTTAAGCTAGATCATTAACAATGATCTCAGAGATTTTTGGGTTAGAAAGTCGACAAGTTTTCTATTTGACATCATTCTGCTCTCTGCAGACCAAACATCACACTTGACAGTTTTGTGAAGCAGGTAGGTGGCTTATAGAGGGAGCTCTTTACCTGCATTATGATTGTTAAGCCTGGTTTATGCTTCTCCGTCAGCTCCGCAAGGGACAGACACGCACAGATTGACGGAAGCGTTTTGCTCTCACACTTCTCCGTCTCCTGGAGAGTGTTGCAAAGCAATTCCCCGGCAGGAAAACAGAGGGCGTAGCTTTGTTTTGTGGTATCCTGTCGTGTATCGGTCCAAGATCATATGTTTTTATTGTGTTTTTTGTGTATATAAGAGACTTTTAACACGGACATATTTGTCTCTCATTCTCCCACCGCTTCATGCGCTCCCCACCTCTAAACCCACGTTTCCTGTCATTTCCGTCCACAAATAAAATGCTTGCTGCGTATCTTTTCACTCCTCCAGTCACGGGAGGATAAAACGTTCATATTTTTAGAGTTTTTTCGCGAGGTATTCTTCAAGCTTGTCCGTCTCTGCCGCTAGTTATCCTCGGCTCTCTTTGCAATGGCGGCACTGTAAACAACAGCGGCGTCCCGACCAATCACAAGCTTGCGTAATCCGTCTCGTTCAACGGATGTTTAAAAAAGTGGGCTCGACTCCGTACGTACTTGCGTGCCCTACGCAAGGACGGATAATGGCGTTGCGTGTCTCCGCACTGACGCAGACGGAGAAGCATAAATCAGGCTTTAGCTGTAATGCTAGCAATTAGCATTTTCAGTTCGCATATAATCAATAAAAAGCACAAGAAGAAGAAAAAGACGAAGTGTGCATTTTCTGTTTGCACCGTAGCAGAGCCCTGAAGTAAAAGTAAGAGACTAATGTCTTTAGAAGCGAAGCAGAGATAAAACCAGAGTGAACATTGACATGTTCTTACAGTAGTTTGAGGAAGCTGAAGGAGGCTACAAAATCACAGACTGATTGTGACCTGTCTTTGTTGCTACTGGACCTGTAAGAAATAATATCTTTTGTCCAACAGTGTGGACGTTATTACTTTATGGTTTAATTAGCTCGTTGTTAGCACAAGTTACAGCAGGCTTGTTCCAGAACTGCGCTGCTCTGGGTGGCTGCATGTTGGTGTAGCTCTGTTGACTATATGTAAGTTTTGTCTTTTTTTGGAC